GAAGAAGAAGAAGAAGAAGAAGAAGAAGAAGAAGAAGAAGAAGAAGAAGAAGAAATATTCAATGATGATTCGTGGCTCTTTTGGGCAATCTTTGTTTTCCCCGATTTTTCTCCCGTATTGTCGACCCAAAAACGTTATCAAAAGAAATACTTGGCTTAAAGGTTCCATATGATCAGCCTTGTTTATTTTATTCAAGCATTTCAAAAAACACTATCATTACAACATAAGATAAGGTTGCTTTTATTCGCTAGGAATATAATTGCGGAAGTACTAAGCTTTGGGCAGGCGGCCTACTTTATTATACCATATGATACCATATGCAGGTTTAACTGTATATAGCGAGTCGGGAACCGGTGTCTTCAAATTGCCTTTTGAGCCTTGGAAAGATAGAACTGAGAAACATAAAACATGAAAAGAAAAATGAAGTGTATTTTTATAAATTGCATGAAAGATGTGTCGATGGTAAGTGAAATAATTATTTACGAAAAGTGCAAAATAAACGTGTTTTTTCGTGATTGAGAAGGACTTTAAAGTGTATATGACACGAAATCATTTCATCGTTTGAAATGTATAGTTTGTTAATAATGATAAATATATCTTAATAAAATTTGTTTCAAAAGCTTAATTCTTGAGATATGTGAGAAAATTAAGCCCAATTTGTGACGTCATTTTGTTGAAACGTACTCTAGATTCGGTAGTAATGTACTAAATATAAATTGTAATTCATACAAAATGACGACGAAAGGCATATTGTATTCAGCTTCATTTGATAGCTTACGTAGTACTCTTCAAATGTTGGGAAACTGAAAAGGGTACTACCTGAAATTAAGATTCTACATTCAAACATATTTCGTATATTTGCAACTAAATCTGGAGACTTGTAAACAAAATGACGTCACAACTTGTACTGAATTTTCTTGAATTTCTAGAGAAATATGTTTTTGAAACAAATTTAACTGTGATTTTCTTATTAATGCCAATAAAATACACATTTTTAACATTAAAATTTTTTCATGTCATATGCACTTTAAAGTAAACATTATAGTTAAGAAGAACTTCAATTGAAAGGATACAAGTTTTCCTATTTTAATACATTATTATAAGTGAAAACCACGAGAAGAAAAAGAAGTAGAAAAAGGAGATGAGAAGGTAAGAGAATGTGACAAGAAGACTCTACTTTAATTAATAAACCAACAAAAGAATGATTATTCTTAGCAGACGTACACAAAGGCCTTGAAGTAGTAAGAGAATTCTGTTTTATTTTATTAGCCACGTAATTATTTCAAAGAAACTCCTTACCTCGCTTTCCATAGATTTGCTTCCACTTGTTTGTTGGAGAAGAAACAAGTTCTTCAAGTAAACCTGCAGGGTTCGGGGAAAGGGAAGGTTTTACCTCGGGATCTGAAATTTTAAGCGATAGCAATTAATGCTGTTAAAAAATAATGCAACAGTTAAGAAGTTAAGAAGAAAAAAAACATCACTTAAGTTGAATGAAAAAACCCGAAATCACAGCAATTCATATTTTTAGTATATATAAAGTATGAGTGGCCGTGTTAAACGTCTAGGTTAGTTCCTTTGTGTTTTTACTCAAATTTTCAAAATTAAAGTGAATTTGGCCAAGAAAATCCAACTTAAAGTTTATGCAAATGAACACAGTTTTGTATCAGATTTACAACACTCTTCACGGTCGTGATTTCTGTTGTGTTTGCCTCATGAATTATTAATGTGTTTGATAATAAGTAATGCAAGAAAATGAAGAAGAACAAGAAGAACAAGTAAAAGAAGAAGGTTGGAGATCTAGAATAAGAAGGTAAGATGAAGGACAAAAGCTAGAACAAAGAGAAGAAATACAGGGAGAAAAAGAAGACAAATACAACTGCGATCAATGCAGAAGGGCATTGAGTATTATAATAATTTCTAAAAAACAAATTTATAAAAAAACACATTAAAAGTTTTTTAAAAAAAACATACCATAATAATTACGCAATGACTTGGCTTGGCTTACAACAAACAGGCCAAGAAAAATGAGCAGTACCAGTTTAGAGTTCATCATAACCAACTGTCTTGAGCCGAATTCGTCTTTAGTTGAAAGTGTTCAAAACCAAGTTGAACTCATGATCGTCTGCGTGGAGTTTATAAACAATTTGCGCTGTGTAACACTAAATTAATTAATGGCGGCGAACATGTGAGATAAGAGCTCAAAACAAATCGAAACACCTGATGGGTCTTTATAACTTGAATTTACAATTTACAGCTACAATTAACGAAACCTTTAAAATAACAGTTCCAAATGATTAAATAATTGCTTGAATAGTTCTTTACTTTTCCATTACTTTCTCGACAGGGATGTGGACCAAAGCCGATAATTAATAATTGTTTATTTTAAATTGTTTTATGTACAAAGCCCCAAGAAAGCCTTTAATAACTATTTTGAGAAATTGAAAAAATAGAAAAATTATGCAAAAAAATGTTGGGCTGCTTCGAAGGTACCTTTGAGAATAACATTGGAAAACTAATAAGTTTGATGGCGTCAGTCCAAGAGTACCGAATAAGTCGAGTAAATTAAAATAGAAACGAATAGAGAAAAAAACGAATAGGTAAAAGAAATAAACAAAATGAAAGACAACGAAAAAATATAATAATAATAATAATAATAATAATAATAATAATAATAATAATAATAATATATGG